TTTTTGATAATAAAAGAGCTTTACTATTACTTTAGCAATATAAATGAGTTTACCAGGCTTTGACCTTTTGTGGAGTGCTTCATTGTTTCATCCCATTCTTTTTTAATTGAGTTAAGGGTATTTCCCTCCCTTCACTTTGTAATTGTGCACCTATAAATTTGTGCAAATGTATAGTGCTCCTACAAATTTGTACAGCCCATGGGACTCCTCCACTGGAGGGTCAGCCTCAAATGTAGATCACAGAATAGTCCCTTCTCTCCTGTTTGCAGGGTGTAAAACCTCTTCAGGCTGTCTTACCCTTCTGCCTGGCTATTTAGTTCCATAAAATGGTAGATTAGTTGCAATATTTCAAATAGAATATTTCACATAGAATGGTGAAAGCCACGTGACATAATGCATAAAGTGCATTATGCAAAGAACATAAATGCATACACACGAAAAAGACATAAAATGCAAAGACATTGCAGGGTCTTTGCTCGGGTTCAGAGATGGGACCATAGCAAGGACAGGAATATAGGAGATAACTTAGAGACAGAGGAACAATGGGAAGGGTGGGAAACTAGGAAATAGGTGGTCATGGCAGTTGATTTGGTCCAAATCTTCCTCATCCATAAATTGAGGGAAATGAGTTACAGTTTTTAAGATTTTGACCATCTTGACCATTCTAAGAAAATAAATGAAGCAAGAGCAAAGTAAAACCAAAAACAAATAAAAACTGCTACGTATCTTAAATGTAGTGTAAATTGTGTGTTCAAACTTTTACTATTTTGGAGCATGTTATTCTGATATTTTTTAAAGTGCTCTTTCAAATAATTATTTGAAGAATTATGCACTTCCTAGAATTATCTCCCATTAAGAACTACTCACTCTGAGTCCAAAGTAGATAATTTCTCAGAATATGTTAGAAATTTTTATGACCTTATGAAAAGGTCATAAACTAGGTGGGGGTGGAGAGTGGAGCACTACTAGGAAGATGTGTGAGTTGGGGATGTTGGTGATGGAATGGATTCTGACAGAGAATTCATTAGTCATTGACATGCAAATTGACTTTCCAGAATTGTAAATATTTGTATTCATTTGTTAAGGGAAAATTGGATGAGCACTCCACATTTCTTGCCCAATAGCAGAAGCAGCTAAATGAATCCAAGCTTTCAGAGCATGTTTGGAGAATCTGAGAAATGATGGTGGAGTTGATAATTCACCTGGAAGCTATTTCCAGCTCTGTGATTGCCATTATCATGATGCAAGCGTAGTAATTATACTTTATGCAGAGTTTTCTATGTCTTATCTCCAAATGCCTTAATCATTTAGATTTTATGCAAGCATCATTTCTTCTTGATAGCTTTTTGGTGATCTAGGCAGTATTTTGCATTTTATTATGATTTTTTAACATACATAAGTAGTGTTCTAGTTTGTTTCATTACTTTTCATTACATTTCATTACATTTATTTATTTGACAGAGAGAGAGA